CGCCCCCCCCCGTGTGCCTGATCCTTGCCTGCGCCCCCCACCCGTGTGCCTGACCCTTACCTGCGCCCCCCCCGTGTGCCCGCCCCTCCACAGCCCTGTGCGGAGCCCGGGTGTGCGCTCAGGACCCCGAGTTCAGCTACGGCTGCGCGGAGGGCAGCTGCTACCCCGCCACCGGCGACCTCCTCATCGGCCGAGCGCACAGGCTGTCGGTGACCTCGACGTGCGGGCTGCGCGGGCCGGAGCCCTACTGCATCGTCAGCCACCTCCAGGTGAGCGCGGACGCGGACCGGCGCCGCCTCCCCGGAGCCCCGCGGTTAGACGCGCCGCCCGCCCCCTTGTGCGCCATGTGCGCCATGTCCGTTTGCACAGTTGTATCCGCCGAACGTTTCCTGCCGCGTCCACAGCCGGCCCGGCCTTCGTGGAAAGTCAGGGCCACGGACGCCCGGCCCCGCCCCGCCGCAGGGCCTCCAGCCTGACGGTTGTTTCCTAATCTGCCCTCCTGGGAAACGTGCGTAAAAGGTGGTGGGCCCTCCGTTTCTCAGACCTGAGGAGTGATGGCGGGCTTCTCCTCAGCCCTGCACCTGCACGAGGGAGGGGTGCAGGGAGGGGTGCGCTGATCCGCGTGTGTGAGCTCAGTGCAGCCGCCGGCCCGAGGTTCTCTCCCCGCAGACACTCCAGACGCCGTGGTCGCCGTGGCCCCCTGGCATGGTCCCCACGTCCCGGGTCCTTTCTAAATTTTTTTTTTTTAAATGTTTTATTTATTTCTAGGAGAGAGAAAGACAGCGTGAGCAGGGGAGGGTCAGAGAGAGGGAGTCACAGACTGAAACAGGCTCCAGGCTCTGAGCCGGCAGTCAGCCGGGTCCTTTCTAAAAGCCGTCCTCGGAGATCTTGGGTGTCAAAAGTCCAACCCAGTTTTAAAGAAGACACAAAACATACGCTACCTAGAATCAGAAGCCTTTTCCTTCATTTTTCTTTAAGTACACTGGTATTTCTGGCCTCCGAAGGAAGCCAAAGGGGCTGGTCTCCCGAAGGGCCAGGGCCAGGGCCAGGGCCAGACGCTCCCGTTGTGGCCCGCCCGCCCGCGCACCTGCCCCTGGGAAAAGGGCGATGTCCTGCCGTTTGTGCCACAGATGCCTTAAAATGGAGTCGCCTTTACAAAGTAGCAAGCGAGCCCGTTCTGGCGACCTGAGAAATTAAACCGAAGGAATGTGGTAAAGTGGATTGCCCTCGTCTGCTCCCAGGTTTATACGGAGATGTCTAGACTGCTTCCTCCTGATTAGAAGGGCGGCTATAATTAAACCTTTTCTTTTAAGTTCTGGTAATTGTTCTCCAGCATGAGCTTTCTTGACTACAAGTTAATGAAGGCAATTGATGTTACCTTTTCTAATATTAGCATGCAAATTTGACCTAAAATACTATGTTAACATTTACCCCAGAGGCGAGGACATCCTGTAAATGAATCACCAGATTCTGAGACCCACGGTGACCAGATTGAGAATAGACCCATTTGTCTTAAAGGCCAACCGGAGCCAACCTCTCTGGTTGGCGTGATTAGCCGGAAAGCGTGGAGTGCTCTCGACGGATATCAGAGCCATATCCGAGGGAAAGGGCCTGGGTGTGCTCTTTTCTCAAGCATTTAACGGGTCTGCACACTGAGGCAGGAATCTTAAGTATTTCGTCCGGGGTCCCGCTGCATTCCTGACTTCCGTTCTCTTTGTCTTAGCCCATCTCCATTCCCTAAGCCCTTTTGGGAGGAAGGTGATAACACCTAATGGCTAAATAAATACAAAGCTAAGAGCCCAGTCCGTTGGTTATTGTCCTTCTCAGAATATCACCCCTGCTTAAATGTTGTGTGCGAGACGTAGGTGGGCCTCTGTGGGCGCCCGTCTCGGTCCCTGTTGGCCTTCTGTGAGTTGATGTGTTTACAGTGGGTTCAACGCAGCGGGTGCCCACTGACTCCATATCCTGAGTAGTTTGTAGATGTTCCTACAAGCCGCCACCCTGATTTGCCGCTGGGGCAGTGCAGAGGCTCCGAAAGCTGGTTCCGTATTTTCCAGAGCTTCTTAAATACGTTTGCCTAATACGTAGCCTCTGAGTTCTGTCAGTTTTAGAATGTCGGGCCACGTGAATTGTTCTTTTCTCTCTCCCCCTTTCATTTTTCAGTTTGCTTTAAAGCATGTCAGCAAAAATTCTCTAATACCGCTTCTGCATTTGCTTTAAGAGGAAGCTTCTGTAGCTATTCATGGAGATGGAGGCTTAGGCCTAGAAATTTCATTTTGATTCAAGTACTGGCTTGTGGAAACAATGCCTTCTTTTACTTTTGACCTTGAACTGACAAGAGTGGAGGAAATTTTCAGGACTAATTCATACTCCAGGAGTTAAAAAGTGGAAGGCATATTCTATGGCATGGAAGTGATTTGGGCACATTCATTGTGCTTGAAGCAAATGGGTTTGATTTTTGTATTGTGGGCTTGATTTTTGGGGTGTGTGTGTGTGTGTGTGTGTGTGTGTGTGTGTATTGCCTCCTAGACTCATGAAACTAACTTTGCTTTCAGGAGGACAAAAAATGCTTCGTATGCAATTCACAGGATCCTTATCACGAGACCCTCAACCCTGACAGTCATCTCATTGAAAATGTGGTAACTACATTTGCTCCAAACCGCCTTAAGATTTGGTGGCAGTCCGAAAACGGTATGTGGTTGGTGTGGGAACAAGTTCCGTAGCGTGTGGTTGGTCACCTGGAAGGGATTGACAGGCTCCCGAGTATTTGTAGTCTCGATGGATTTCTCTGCCCTCTAATTATGGTCTCTGGCAGATTTACTGCCTGAAGCACTAACCTCTCATGGTAAAATCCGATCTCCTTCCCGAAGCATGCACTTTTCTGTAAGAAAGCAGTCTTTCATGCTAGACCAAAGGAGTATTTCCTGGTCCATATCCTGAGGGGAGCCTTTACGGGGCGGGGCGGGGGGCAGGGTATATCTGTGGGGGGCATGGGAAGGTCCTGAACTATTTCAGGCCCTTAATCTTTCACAAAATAGAGCATCTTTCATTTGGATTACCCCCAAAGGAAAGGGCAGAATCAGCCCCGATCTCTACCATCACCTTCCCTCCCTCTGGAGAAAATTCGGTGATAGTACTATGGATCAGCACCAGACCGAATTTCAGTCAACATGGATATGACCCCAACTCAGTTTCTTTAAGGAGTATGGGAAGTCAGCCCTTTTTCCTTTCTTTGCCTTTTGGGTTTGGGTTTGGTAAACTCATTAAATTTGATGTTACTTCACTGGGAAACTAAGCCCAAATTAGTTTTGCATTTGTTTCAAGCTTAAATGCTGAACCTTAGGAAATAAAAGTAGAGTTCTTGTGTCCCTTAATTAACAGTGATCTTTCAAAAGAGTATGAGAATTTTGGCTCTCAACGAAGTGAGCCTAGGAATGGCCCTAGAAAACATGGATTGTACTAGATCTTTTTATTATATGCCCTACATCTGGGAGATTCTCAGATGTTTGCCCTCATTTAACACTTTGTAAAGAGGAACTCCCTTCATGGACTTCCTTGTCATTAACTATGAAATTACACATGCTTTCTAGAAAACTGTTGGCTTCTGGAGAGAACTGACGATTGGCCAGCCGTGGGGCTGCATTGGTTACCAGACTGAGACAGACTGGTCCTTAGAAAGCATGTATCAATTGGGAGCCTTGTCAATTCTTATAAGACTTTATCTTGATTGAGAGAGTTCAGTGTGAAAGAGAAGTTTCTGTAAATCTGTACCTAAGTCACAGAGGACTTCGGAAATTGCACAGAGCTTATTCCAAACGGGGAGCAGCCACATGTCCTGACGGCCCACATTCTTCCAGCGAAATGAAGAGACAACTAGAAAGATGCCTCTAAAAAAATAAATAAATGAATGAATGAATGAAAAGAAGGATGTCTCCACATGAGCGTTGTGTTGATAGACAGTGAAATTGTTCATCATGTGCTAGGGAGGGGCTTTTCTTGGTCACATCAGGACTTCGTCAGTTTCTGCAACTTTGAATCTGTAGGACAGGGGAGTTCCACGTGTCGGAGGGAAGGGATTTTTAAGTAGAGGGGCTTGTGTTCTCTGTCACAAGAGAGGAGATGAGGCCGGGCTGGAGATGAGTCTTCCGAAAGTCAGACTGATGAGTCCTGTGCCTTCCCTGTTGTCTGATAGCTCACCAGTAAAGATGTTCTTGGTGGATGTGAGTTTATCCATTTTCTGTGGGTTTTGTCCAGGTTGAGCGTGGCCTCAAGTTATCGGGGCTCAGAAACAGGCTTGGCGTGCACAGCTGCTTTTCACCTGCCCTTCCTAATGGTCTGTTTCTAGGTCTGACAGAAATCACACGCTCCGTACAAGAATAATCTGGAGTTTTCTTCTCGTATTTAAAAAAAAAAAAAAACAACCCTTAATGCTTTTATCAGGTTATAAATCTAAAGTGGAATGTGCTTTTAGTGAACACATTGTGTCATCTTTCCATATGTTGCAGAAATGGTACTAGTTTTGTTTGTACTTTACATTATTTTGTTATCTCTTCATTTTGAACAAATCTTGCGGGTTTTTAAAAGCCTGGGAGGGAAGAACCGCATAGTTGCTGGGCTAACATTTCACTCAGAAATGCCCAGAGTAGGTTTTTAAGATGGTTCTTTTTGATAAGTTAGCTAAGGTTAGTTAGTATGATTATAATGTTTTTCTTTAACATTCCAACTAACTCATATCCGTTTCAGTGACCACCCTCCTCCCCCCAACTGACTTGGCAGTTTTCCAGCAGGAGAGTTTATTTCGAAAGTCCGACTGATTTCCTGAAAATACACCAGCCTGTGACATGATTCATTCTGACACATTCCTGTCTTCCTGCAGTGAAGACTTCTTCTGCTCCAGAAGGTGGACCCCTAAAGTGCTCTCAAGCACAGGAAACAGGGGCCGCTCTCCTTGAGCAAACAGGAGGGCTGGAGGGCCCAAGATTAGAGAGGAGGGACTTTCTATCCCAGGAATTCCAGTGGCCTTTTTTGTGTGGTGGGACTGACCCACCCTCAGGGGAAGGTGCAGAGGCTCGTTTGTTTGTTCAGGCTTTCCCCTCAAAGGCAAGATGCTAGTATTTGTTCTGGGCCGGTTTGTTTATTTGACCGATTCTTTGTCTCCGGCTTTGCTTTTCAGTTGTGATGCATCCAAAGGCTTCCCCGTCAAGGACAGGTCTTTCCAAATGCGAGTATATCTAACAGATGTGCTAGTGTCTTATTTTTTGCCGCTGCATAAAAAAAGGAATATTTGTGGCCCTCCCCACCCCCCCAGGCTGCAAGCTACACCCCCACTGTGCACAGGAAGTGACCCCTTCCCTTCCCACTTGGAGAGTCCCTCGGCTTAGAGGATTTGGGGAGATGTTTCTTCGCTTTGTGCTAAGCAGGAGCTGTCTCTCTTGGCAGCAGCTGGAGGCGTCCCGCCAGGCGTCCTGTCCCGGGGCGCAGACGCGGTGTGCGGGGCCCCGGAGGGAGTCGGGAGAACTGAAGATTCATCCTGGCCTGTGCCTCCCCCCTAAGCCAGGCCGAGGCGGCTCGTCGCAGCCTCACTCTCAGGGAGAGCACCCAGGGGCTTTCTATGCGGGGCGTAAAGGGAATTCAAGAAACATAGTCCCAACCGTTCACAGATGTTCCCGTTTGCCTTACTGTTTCCTTTCTGAATTCTTTAAAAATCTCCTATAGGCGTGGAAAACGTAACTATCCAACTGGATTTGGAAGCAGAATTCCATTTTACTCATCTCATAATGACTTTCAAGGTAAGGCATTCGGAACTTTCTCACGAACGACACGTGGGGGGCGCTGCGGAATTCCCTTTTCGGGGTGGGTGTCTGTTGTGAGTCGGCCTCTAGGGGAACTTAAATATTATTGTTGCCATAAACTGAGATCACTGAGCAGCTTTTTTAAGATGGGCCTGGATAACTGTGTTTAACAAATACTCTATCTTCGTGGCAAGAAAGAGAGAGAGCCGCTATTCTGAGGTAATTCAACTGTAAACTTTTAATTAGATCTCCTTTTATTTCCCCACGGAGAGAGGCCGTTTTGACTCTCTCCCAAACCACAGTAAAACATCTGGAGGGTGAATCCCTCGTCCCTGCTGGTCATGTTTTAACGTTGAGCTTGGTAACTGACAAGGAAGTGTATTATCTGTACTTTTCAAGGGTTTGCCCAATTTGTGGCAACAGCTTTACAGGTCCTTGGGAAACGTGCATGCCTTCTTAAATGTGGATTTTTCGCATCCTTTTTCTCTTAGAGAAGTAAAATGACTCCAGGGCTAGGGAATTTCTCTGTACAAAGTCCCTTTGTTTCTTCATAAGCAGCTGCCTGGAAATGACCGACTTCACATGGCTTAAAGTACATGTTGATGCACATAAAACCCATAATTTACTTACGGCTTCTCAGATGAGGATCACTTTTGAGTAGTTTTGGGTTGGAGTTGGGGGCCTTCTCTGTACCCCGTCAAGTTAGGAAAAGGTGCCAGGGACAGATTGAGCCTGTGGGCGGGTAGCCACGAAAGCGCCACGTGGCCTCCCCCAAAGCCTGGGAGGCCAAGGGGCATGGGTGGGAATGGAGGTCAGAACGCGGCAGGAGGGGTGTAGACGGCTGGTCCCCAGCCCTGAGGTTCCTGGCGAGGAAGGTTTACACTGCGGCACCGGATACTGGCGGAGAGGTTGGGGGGCTTTCCCCGGGCAGCTCGACACTACGGCCCCTCCCGTCGTCGCCCACGCCCTCTGCTTAGAAGCAGAACTCAGCCACGCAGGGGGATGTTGCCTTCGTGTTATGTGACACCTAAAAATGCACAGAACTATCGTCGTGGGTGCCGATTCCTTTGGAGAGTGCATCTGTTTGCGTCCGTGGGTAGTTGTGAGTTCGCTGGCGTCCAGAAGTCCTTGGGGTACGTACTCTTGTCGTTAACTACTCATTCAAGTGAGAACGGTGGGTCGGCCGTGAGACCCTGCGCACAGATGCCAAAGGTCAGATAGGAGGCGGGGACCGAACTCCGACGTGACAAACAGGTGCGGGTTGTCCGACTGTAGTTCATGAGAGAGAACTCAGCCTCTGGGCGTTAGGTGTTGCGTGAACAGCAACATCTGTGGGGCTGGACACACTTCGAGGTAAGTCCCCATCCTGCCCCTTATGGGCACGTGTGGCCGGAACTTTGGCCTCCTCTGTGGAAGGAAGAGCGGCCAGAATAAGGCCGCCGACTTCCGAGGGCCGTGTGACCTCCGCCTCCGCTCCGGAGGGGGCGCGCTCTTGCTGCCCGGCGTGTAACGGGAGCGGGGCCGCCCTTGTCCATTGTCCGTGCCGATGCGTGGCGGGTAGTGACCGCTCTGCAAGTGCGCACTGGACGAACGTGCGCGCAGAGGGACCCGGCCCGTCTTGCGGTTGGGAGAAGCTGCCCCGGGGCGAACACGCGCTTGCGGAGCCCGGGTGGGGCGCCCTGTGAGCACGAGGCCGGGAGAGCACGAGGCCGGGAGAGCGCTCTTAGTCGGCGCAAAGCAGAAGCTTCGTGAAGAGCCGCCTGGGGCTGTGTTTGACCTGGGCCAGGACGGGCGAGCGGGTCTCAGCGGGAGGGGGTGGAGGAAAAGCCGCTCTTGGCGGCGGAAACCGTCTGAGGGCAAAGCTCTGGCGGGGCCGGTCGGGCGGAGTTTGCTCTGTGTAGCTGAGCCTTGAGCTCGGGGCCCTGAGGGCGAAAGGGAAGCCGAGGACCGACCGACAGAAGGTTCTAGGTCCTGGGCTTCCGGCGGAGGGCTGTGAACTATGCAGGAAACGGGGAGCCGCTGACAAGGGAACGAGCCTGTACTTCAGGAAGACAGGCGAGGGGACACCCGGAGCGGGGCGCGGGACAGTGAGAACCGGGGGCCCGTGGGGAGGTCCCCCTCGAGGTCTGTGCGAAAGGGGGGCTCACCCGAGAGCGTAGTGGTGGTAACGCGGGGCGGGCCTGACTCGGGAGGGAGCCGCCCCAGCAGCCCCGCAGTCCTGGGAGGACCCCCGGCAAAGCTTGTGCAGACCACACGTGTGCCCCTGCTGCTGCAGGCTGCTGCCTGCTACCGACCTGCCTTTGAGAATCGTTGCCTGCTTTCCATGGGAGTCGTCAGCTGGACCCTCCGGGACCAAAGGTTCAGTCACGGGGGCGCCTGGGCGGCTCAGTCGGTTAAGTGTCCGACTGTGGCTCGGGTCACGATCTCGTGGCTTGTGAGTTCGAGCCCCCGCGTCGGGCTCTGTGCTGATGACAGCTCAGAGCCTGGAGCTGCTTCGGGTTCTGTGCCTCCCTCTCTCTGCCCCTCCCCTGCTTGCTCTCTGTCTCTCTCAAAGATAAACATTAAAAGAAAAAAACGTTCAGCCACGAGTCCGAGGAAGATGAGAAGGGAGGTGGAAGGGAGAGCAGGAAAGGGGTGAATCTGAGCTCACTTGGGTGTCTGCGCTGAGCAGGCGGGAGGGTGGGGATGCAGTGCCCAGGAGCAAGGTCCGGAGCGGGTGGTGGTGAAGAACTCGCGTTTGCCGTGCAGATGGCCGCCCGCTGGGGGGACTGGGTTTTCTTGGGCCAGGGAAGCGCATATCATGTCTGCACGGTTTGCTTTTCTCATCAGCCAGATGTTTCCGAAATCGCAGCACTTCTATTTAGTAGAAGTTCAGAGGTGGTGGAGTGTCTGGGTGGCTCGGTTGGCTGACTGTCCGACTTTGGCTCAGGTCATGATTTCACAGTTAGTGAGTTCAAGCCCCATATCGGGCCCACTGCCGTCAGCACTGAGCCTGCTTTGGAGCCTCTGTCTCCCTCTCTCTCTGCCTCTACCCTGCTCACTCTCTCTTGCTCGCTCGCTCTCAAAAATAAAAAAATAAAGGGGCGCCTGAGTGGCTCAGTCAGTTAAGCATTGGACTTCAGCTCAGTTCTTGATAGCGTGGTTCATGAGTTCAAGCCCCGCGTTGGGCTCTGTGCTAATAGCTCAGAGCCTTGAGCCTGCTTAGATTCTGTGTCTTCCCTTCTCTTTGCCCTTCCTCTGCTTGTACGCGCCCTCTCTCACTCTCTTTTTCTCTCTCAAAAATAAACATTAAAAAATTAAAGAAACATTAAAAAAACAACCCAGAGGTGGCTCTGCACCAGTGTGAGTCCTGAGCACATTGGAGACTCAGGAAAGAGTGGGAAGGGCATCCGTTCTCTACATTCAAGTGTTGTCCTGGTTTCCAACAGCTCTGGAACTCCACAGGAAATTGGATAATTTGTCCGTGGCCCTCTGGGACTCGGGCCTTTCCAGAAAGGAGGGAGAGAAAGCACAGCCAGAACTGGCTCTAAGGCTTTTCCTCCCTGCTTCCTTGTGACACAGAGACATTAGGCTAGTCTGTCCCCAGATGTCCCCACCCAGGAGGCAGGTCTCCTGGGAAGTTTGTCGTGGCTGACTTAGTGATTGGGCTTTTCCCCTCCCCTCACTTTAAAATTCTTTGCCTCATGCTCTGCAGTTTAATAGTATCCTTTTCTTAGATTTCTGAATAGGTAAAAAAGTAAAATCCAAGCACTTAGTAAGTAAGTCAAAGAATGTGTCAAAATGTGACCTTCCATTTTCTTACCCTTGTCTCCTTTTTTTTTTTCTTTTAATGTTTGTTTATTTTTGAGGGAGAGCGAGAAAGAGAGTGTGAGTGGGGGCGGGGCAGAGAGAGAGGGAGACACAGAATCCGAAGCAGCTCCAGGTCTGAGCCGTCAGCACAGAGCCCGACACGGGGCTCGAACTCCCGAACTGTGAGATCATGACTTGAGCTGAAGTTGGACGTTTGACCGGCTGAGCCACCCAGGCGCCCCAGCCTCGTCTCCTTTTCCCAGTGAAGAAGAACATCAGGATTATTAAGGAAGGCAAAGGGAGGTCTGGGGTATACGACTTTCACCACTAGTGGTCCCCCAAATTTCTCTCTAGTGTCAGTTTTTAATTTGGAAGGGAGGGTCTGTCTGGATTCGGTTTGCTCGGCCGGCTCCCCTGGCCTGTTCTCCCTGAGCTGTGATCTGAGGTCCACTGCCCAGATGCACCTGCGCCCTTCTCTGGCTCTGAGGCCCGGACCCATCGGTAGTGCTCATTCCGCGTCATCTCTTACTTCCAGGGCACCCCGTCCACCACACCCTCCGGAATCTCCATCCTGCCTCAGTTTCCTGGATTCGTATCTTTTTATCCTTCCTCTCTGACCTCCATTGGTCAGCCTGCTATTACGCCATGAGCCAGGGAGGCAGAAAGATAGGTTTGGGCCTAATTCAACGGGGATTTGAATCTAAGCTCTGCCTTCAGGTAGCAAGTCAATTAATGTGTCTGAGCCTCATTTTCCTCATCTGGAAGAAGAGTGTGTTGTGAGGGCATACTAGTCTCCGAGGGTGGCCGTAACACAGTACCATAGCCTCGGTGGCTTCAACAACAGAAATGTATTGTCTCACGACTCTGGAGACCTGCTGTCTAAGATTGAAGTGTGGGCACACTTGGTTTGTCCTGTGGCCTCTGTGTCCCCTGGGGTGTAGACGGCTGTCTGTCTTCACATGGTCTTCCCTTGTACATGTCCGTCTCATAATTTCTTCTCCTTAGAAGGAAGGATACTGGTCACATGGGATTCGGGCCCACTCTGAAACCTCATTTTACTGTAATTATTCCTTCGGAGAGCCTGTCTCCAAATATAGTCACTCTCTGAGGTATGAGGGTTAGGTCTTCAACATAAGAAGTTGGGGCGGACACCATTTGGCCCATATCAGAAGGTTAGGACCTAATGGAATTAGAGCTCCAGGCACCATTCTCTTTCCTCCTTTGTCTAGTCCCATGTGGATGCATTTTCTGGAGCAATGATTTTAGCTTCTTTATCTTACCCTTGGCTTCTTGGGGGGGAAACTGTGCCTTCTCTGTTTGGAGGTTTCAAATGTCGTAGGCCGGCAGTGATTTCCAGATGCACAGTTCAAGCTCCATTCATGCAGCTGGGCCAGACCACTTTCCAGGGGTCCATCGGGTGTCCCTCCTCACGTAGCTAGTCCAAAACCAAATGCCTTCTCTCTCTTCTGTGGTTTTGCTCTTAACCACAGTTGCCTCTACTACCCAAGCTCAAGTACCCGTGGTTCTTTCTTCTCCCTCCCTCTCCACTGAAACCATATTGATCACCAAGTGCAATTCAATATATTTGGTAAAATGCACTAGGTTTTCAGAGCAGTTGAGCCTATGCCTTTCTCTCCGTCCTTACTGTAGTGCTTGGGGTAAGACTGCCCTCTTCTTCTCTCTCAGTTGCTTTCCTCATCTCTTGGTTTTTTTGCTTCGTTTTGTTTTTCCATGTCTCATAGCTGTGCCACGGGGTTACCTTTCCAAAGTGCAGTCTGATCATTTCACGCTGTCCACTTGAGTCTTCCGATGTCCCCCTTTCGTGGTGTAAAAATAAAGGAGACCCCTTAGCGTGGCCAACACATTGCTTCCCTGCCCTAGTCAACCTCTGCTGCCGCCTGGAGCCACTCCATCCCCTGCCTGGAAAACACCTACTCTTTTAGGATCCAGTCTGATGCCATCTTCTCTCCGAAGCATTCCCTGGGTGTGTGTGTGTGTGTGTGTGTGTGTGTGTGTGTGTGTGTGTGTATTAAAATATACATAAAACAAAATTTGCCATTTTAACCCTTTCTAAGTATACAATTCAGTAGCATTAGGTGTATGTACACCATCTCCACTATTTCCAGAACTTTCTCATCACCCCAAATACAAACTCCACTCGTTAAGCACTAACTCCCCATTGGCCGCTCCCCCAGCCCCTGGTAACCTCTAACTTACTTGCTGTCTCTATGTATTCCTATTCAAGACATTTCCTTATAAGCGGAATCCTACAATATCTGTCCTTTTGTGTCTGGCTTCTTTCACTTAGTGTAATGTTTTCAGGGTTCGTCCATGACATAGGAAGGACCAGAATTTTTTTTTTTACGGCTGAGTAATATTCTATCGTATCTGTGTACTATGTTTGGTTTATCCATTCATCTTTGATGGCTACTTGGGTTGTTTCTTCCTTTTGACCACTGCGAATTGTGCTGCTCTGAACACTCGTGTACAAGCACCCATCTGAGTCCCTGTTTTCAGTTCTTGGGGTAATGGAATAGCCAGGAGTGGAATTACAGGAGTCCCGTCGTCTTGAGTGAGTCATTCCTTCCTCTCGTTTTCCCCAGTCACACTGCATGAGACTCTACTCTGGTGTTTGATACTGTAAATGATTTATACTTCATCAGTCATCTATAGCATGTGGACCACTGTGTGGTAGCGAGTAAGTGTCCGTGTTCATCTGCTGAATGATGACGTGAATGAATGAAGAACTCTCACTCAAACTAACCAATCCGATTATGGGTGGTAGCTGACTATATACCAAAGCTTGTTTGCTGTTGAGTCCTGGTTCTAATCTGCTCCTAAGGAGAAACAGCTTCCTAGTCCCCGTCAGGGCGGGAGAAAGTGCAACATTTCAGGGCTAGACGCTTTCCTACACGAGGCGGTTCTGTAGAATAGCCTGAAATACTTGAAATCCAGCCACAGTGTGAACTACCAACCGCATGCAGTCAGGGTGTGGGGTGCACAGTGGAGCGACACCTTCATCTGAGACCATCTGAGAGATGGAGATCGCCAATACAGAACATCAAACGAGCCTTTTCTACCCCGCCTTTAGACATTCCGTCCAGCTGCGATGCTGATAGAACGATCGTCCGACTTCGGGAGAACCTGGGGCGTGTACAGATACTTTGCCTATGACTGTGAGGGCTCATTTCCAGGCATTTCAACTGGCCCCATGAAAAAAGTGGATGATATAATCTGCGATTCCCGCTATTCTGACATCGAACCCTCGACGGAAGGGGAGGTCTGTTTGCTGTTTTTGTTTTACATTCTGCTTACAAATCCTTTTTTTATCGTTGCAAAAATACCCATTACTCTTATATCTATTTTTAGGTGATATTTCGTGCTTTAGATCCTGTATTCAGAATAGAAGATCCTTATAGTCCCAGGATACAGAGTAAGCTTGTTCTCACATAAAAGCATTGATGGAAAACTGCAATCATGGAAGAACTCTTACTCAGAGCACTGCTACGCAGAATCTAAATATGCAGTGCTAAATCCACCCTCTTTATTTCCCTTTTTTCTTTGCAGTATCCAACCAGAGGCTCTTGAAATTGGCAGGAATCAAAAAGATTTACGTCCTACGTACTCAAACAATCATGCTGGTTGCAATACCTTATTTTGTTGCTCAGTATAATATATATGTAAAATACATATAAATTACGGTAGAGATTAAGCTGTTGTAACAAAGTATCCCCCAAAAATACAGTGGCTCAAATAATACAGGAGTTTATCTCTCTCTTAGGAAATCGTCCAAAGGGATGTTAGAAATAGACTTACCGGATAAAATACAGGATGACGCCCAGTTAAATCTGAATTAAAGATAAACAGCAAGTTATTTTTTAGTATAACTGTATCCGTGTAATGCTTGTGACTAGTACAAGGACATCCCATGCTATACTTGGGGTTGGTGTCACTATGGCCCATGTTGTATTTCGGATAGACTTTACTGGAAAAACTATTAACTATTTATCTGAAATTCACATTTAACTGAGCATCTTGTATTTTTATTGCTAAATATGGCAACCCTAGCCACCCAGTTCCCTTCTGTCCTTGAGTCCTTATCCACATGGTTGGGGCTGGACCAGTGCTACCATGTCATTGTCCCAACCTATGGGATTGGAGGAAGAGAGGGGCAAGCGACACGGGCATCCCGTTGGCCAAAATTGGCCACGTGACCCTCTCTCAAGACGCACTGGGAAACCTCTCTAGCTAGGCGGCCATGTGCCTTCTCACACTCTTGCCTAAGGCTCTTACTGTCAACCGAAGAAAAGAAGAAAGTTCTGAGGGAGAATCCAAAGTTTCAGCCACACTCGGTGTGCTGAGTAAGGTGAGGGCTGTTGTTTCCACGTAACAGATGAGCAGCCCGAGGTTCAGAGAGTTGGAACGACATGCATATGATGGCCTGGCCATTTAGCGTCACGCAGGTCCAGAAGCTGTATGTTAGGATTCTAAACTCAGAGCTTTTTCCAGCACTTACCAACCATGCTTCTGTAGTTAAAGAGTTACATTTTGATCATCTTAGGAGGCAAAATGTGAACTCATTAAAAGAGTTTGGGTTCCAACAGACCTGGGTTTAAATGCCGTTTCTAGCATATCCTGGCTCTGTGACGTTGGGCGAATAATCTGCGAAAACCTGGTTACAGTTGTTTTTTTTTTAGTCTCTGTTTTTTCATCTGTCAGTGGAGATAGTCATATTGACCCGAGGGTTATTATGGAGGGAAAAGGAGTTCTGTAAATGACCTTCCAACGTGCTTGACACATGGAAAGTGTTCAGGGAGTTGCAGAAGCTGCTGTTGACGGCGGTGCAGTCAGCCATGGCCTGGGTCTCACGTGGACCCAGTCACGTACCTCAGAGTGAAGGGGTGAGACTCCCGCTCCTGCTAATAAGGTGTAGTCCCCTGAGCAGAGGTACGGCTGATTCTTGGTGCTTTCTCCGCTGAGGATGGGCCTGTTGGGAACCAAGGTGTCATGGAGCCTCCTGGCGTGAAGTATGGAAGAGTAGAAGGGAAAGCCTCCAGGAAATATTGCCAGAGAAGTGCTCTTTCCCACTTAAATTAATTTTACATGGGGCCCAGACTGTCTCTGGGTTGTAATTCATTCTTTTGTGAAACAAATATTTAATGGCGCATCCAATTCTGCGTGGTTTCGGAGTGGGCTCTGTGTGAGGCCCGCCCTCCCTGCTCTCAGAACCCAGTTATGAGAAACGTCCACGTGGTCTCCCGGACAGGCACCTCCCGGGGCTCCACAAGGACTCATGCTCTGCTCCTTTTGGGGTGAAATCTGGGGGACTGGGGAGATGGGTTGCCATTACAGTTCCTTGTTTTTTTGTTGTTAAATGGCATCCAGAAAATTCAAGAGGCGTCCGTTTTAACTGATCGCATTTTCGATTGACGTTGTACTCGAGGGAACAACGTCTCTTTCATTGTCCCTATTGCTGGGAGCTCAGAGACTCTCTTCACGAGTGGTTTTGCCTCCGCATACAACGGCAGCCGATACACAAGGCTCAGTTGTTGTTAACTGTGGCAGGCGAGTGTGGAAGGAGCATATTTGCTCTTGTGAGGCCTTCCACAAAGATCAGTTCAAGGGCTTCTAAATACTCCAGCTGCTCTTCAGCTGTGTTGTCTGGCCTCTTGTCAATAGGCGCTTGTGCCGGTTCTGTGCAGGAGGAAATGCTGGCGTTCATACATTCCATTCAGCTAAGCAGTACCACGGTTTCTCTGTTCGGTGTTTGATTTTCACAAAGAGCCTAAGTTTAATGCATGGACTCGTGGGCTTTCTCTTTCAACCCACAGCCACGTCTGTAGTCTTCATTGTAAGCTATGCATAGATTATCAGTAGTTAAAGTTGTACTGGGGCTTTGAATGTATCCGACACAGGGGCCAACACCCTGTTGTCCCGTGTTGTGACTGATGAGAAAGTATCAGCATAAATGCGAGTAAAGCTGAAAAGAAATCTCAGGCTACATGGGGCCTAGGGGACTGATGGACTCATCAGTGTTTTGGGGTCCACTTAGTAATTGATGAAAACATCGATAGAGAATGTCTTCTGGTTTATCGAGTTACTATCGAATGTAATTGATAGCCCAGCCTCTGTAATAAGCATTGATCTATAGATTCAGGAGAGAGAAGAAAAGATAGGAGAAATTGATCTCCAAGGAACTTACATTTAGGGGGGAAGAAAACCAGCTTGTCCCAGCCTCCTAATACTGAGCTCCTTTATGCTTATGCCCACACTACGGATGGCAAACTTGGACAATATAGTGGGAGACTGTGAAGTTGTGTAAAAATTTAGTGGAGCTCTTCTGTCCCTGGAGAATAGTTATTCTGTAGTGTTAAATCCATTTTAGCAACTTGGATTTCATCTATGTGGTGGGAAATTTCAGAGAGTATTTTCTTCTCCCAAGAGAAACACAAAAATGTTTCGTTCTATCTTACAATAACGAAGAGAATTGGAGTGTTGATCAACTCCTCCCCCACCTGAATAGAACTCTGATTTTGAGACCGACGCTTGTTGCTGTGGGCACCGCGTGGTATTGCAATAGTATTGCAATAGTTCAGACTTCTGTGTGCCGGTGGGTTCTTGGAGTCAGGCAGCCGTGTTATTAAATTTCTCGGCTTTTGCGCTTTCTCCTAAAACAGTCTGTAAGCACGTCCGTCACAGAATAGATGTTCTTATTAAACTAGTGAGGAAGTAGCAAACCTTCTTTCTTCCAGAAACTGTCACGTTATATTAAACTTTATTAGCGTGGTCATCTAGATCATAGAAGGGGGTAACCTTTACTTAGGCGTTTTTATCGGCCGTGCCCCTCTGTAAAGAGAAGAGGTGTTCTATAATCGCAAAACAAGTCTTGCTTGCGTGATCAGACTTTTCATCTTCTTGGCGACCTTTGTAGATCTCTTAAAAATCACCAACTTGAGAATCAAGTTTGTGAAGCTCCACACTTTGGGAGATAACCTTTTGGATTCCAGGATGGAAATCAGAGAAAAGTATTACTATGCAGTGTATGATATGGTGGTTCGAGGAAATTGCTTCTGCTACGGTCATGCCAGCGAATGCGCCCCCGTGAATGGAATCAACGAAGAAGTAGAAGGCATGGTGAGTGAGTGCTATGGGGGGCTTTCTCCTTTACACAGATGATTCCAGAAAGCAATTGGAAGCTAGTCTTACCTTTCAAACCTTTCACAATTTCTAGGGGTTTTATTTTTCTAGACCGACTTTGAGCTCTTTCCACCATGACTGGTGGTTGATGGTTGGTTTTTCTCTTTGTTAATATTCTTAGACTGTGAGAATATAAAGACTGTTCATTTCATAGGCGAAGAAATAATTTTGGGAAATTGTTGCGGCAAGCTGCTGCTACAGTAGATATTTGTTTTAGTCAATAAAGATGGAAAAGCTTCCTACATAGCCAGCACATCTTCCCTTCCTTTAGGGAAGATGAGACGCCACAGACCTCCCCGTCTTTATGCTACAAGGCGTAAAGTGATCCCACTCCAGAAAACCTGGACATTTGAACTCAGAACCACAAAATATGACTTAGGACTCCGATGGGCTTTGTGTCTTTAGATATTTCTTCTCGTCTCATTCTTTTCCCACTTTTATGCCATGTTGTCAAATTATGTACTTCTAAAACTTAGGGGTTTGGATGATTTGCCAGATGGAGGAGGTCAGGGTTATTTTACCAGTTTCTAAGTGAACTGATCATTCTTATAGACCCACAGGATCTTAGAGCTAAACAGGATTTACTCAACCAATTACCCTTGTGAGAAGAGGGCAGGGATTAAATAGTTCACCAAAGGGCCCTAAGTAAGTGGCAGATGGAAATTCAAATCTTGCTCTGCCCAGCTCTGCCCCAGGTTCCTTCCGTTTGACTCTGGGCCTCCCTTGTTGAAGAGCGCAGCTTCCTTTCTTGCTCTTTGTTTTTTCAAAGACTCAGTCCTCAGCTAAGAAGGTCCAGGATTGAGTATATTCAGTTGTCTGGAACTTCGGCCTCCATTCGCTCCAGTGAGAACATTTGTGACAGAGATAAAGTTGCATTTTCAATGGAGCCTCGGGGGAGGCCCCGGCCTTGTAATCTCTTGCTCCGTCTTTCAGGGACTGCTCCTTAGATCAGGTTTGCCGTGTAGCTGACGCCCTGCAGGCCTGTCCCTAGCACGGGTCTCCGTACATTGTGCGCTTTGTTCAGACACTGTAGGGTCCCATGGCGTCTGCTTTCTGCAGACGGTGCAGAAAACTAGCTGGGAATGAGATGATTTCAGTCTCTTGCTCACTGCACTCCTGACAAGGTGAGTCCAGGGCGGACCCGTCTGTCCTGTTCCTGAATTCCATTCTGTAGAAACCGGTGTTAAGGTGAGGTGCCTAAGTACGAGCATATTTGGTAGAGACCGAAAGAATGTATCGTGTACGTGCCTCAGGGGCTTAGGCATATCTTGGCGGAGACCCGGTGCAAAAGAGCGCATCCTGGGCCCTTCACAAAGGAAAATAATTTGTACTTTTCCCCCCGAGATTTTAGATTTCCTTTCTTAAAGAAAAACCGTAAATGGGAATGTGGCCTGTGATTAATATTTTAATCTCATTTCGGTTGGGAATAAAATGAAGTGCTTTGCCTGAAGTCAGAAACAAAATAAAGGAAGCAGAAACCCCCATTCTTCCCTGTGACATGGTGGTAAAATGTGCAGTAATGTGAGTTGGTTTCCAGTGGTGTGTGTACATTTAGTTCTGCGTTGAAACTTTTGTCGATTTCTCTTACAATAGGTTTCTTTTGACATAGAGTCTTTAAGTAACTAGCTTTTGTTTTTGTTTTTAATTTTTAAGTGACCGATTTTGTTCATCTGGGCTCTTTTATCCCTACTTCGGTAACCTATTTATTGAGTATCCATTACATAATAGGAACTGTTCCTGGAGGTGGGAGTTCAAGCCATCAGAAAGACAGAATCCCCTGTGAGGAGGGACAATAAAAGCAAATCTTCGTCTCTAGTGAGCCAGAGATGAGAATCAGTATGAAAGAGGTTTATTGCTTCCATCGAGCGTGGAGAAAACCTGGCCGTTGGTGTATCTTACTTCGTCTTTCCTGTTTGTCTGACTTTCCAGGTTCATGGGCATTGCATGTGCAGGCATAATACCAAAGGCTTAAACTGTGAACTGTGCATGGATTTCTACCATGATTTACCCTGGAGACCCGCTGAAGGTCGAAACAGCAACGCCTGTAAAAGTAAGTCTCCGTCAGAGGGACGTTTGGAATCCGTCCAGACTCCCGGCACCATCGTCTGATTGGAGCCACTAGGAGAGTACGTTATTTTTGCAAAAGGAAGAAAAGTTAGTACCCCTTTGCCAGCTTCACCCGGATACTCTTAGGAAACCAGTATCTGCCCAGTTCGATGAGTACATTAGTGTTCAGAGTAGGAAGGAGCCCCTGTGTTCGGGAGACTTCATAGAAGATGGAGACGCTGTCCCCGACATCGTACCTGTCGCACAGGCAAGGTGAGCGTGAGAGGAAGATGCAAGGAACATACGGCACAGTAGATCCCTAAGGTGGCGGCGCACGGCTCGCAGCCGGCCAGCCCAGTGGTCTCCGCTGGCCAGAGGTGTGGATCGAAACACCGCCCTGGCCCCCACAGTGATTCCGATGCCTGGCCCTTCCCCCACTGGGGACGGTTCTAGAAGTTAGAAACCTGTGAGGGCTGGAGTGGCCAAGGATTGTTATTAAGTACAAGCCTTTGATGATAGCTGAGATTGTTGAGGTAAGAAGAAGAAAGGGAGGTAGGGGGAGGGGAAGGTGGGAAGGAGTTCAGATAAGGAAGGAGACCAGCATAAAGCCTGAAGCCCCAAGGACGTTCTTCTCAGGACCAGCGCCCGAATCTACACTGGGAGATGATTCCAAGGTTTAATTCAGCAGGCGTGTCAGGGGCAGGTCCCTGCTCGGCACCCAGGATCCGTCAGCGGGGACATCACAGCCCCTCTGTGCGGGAGGTCGTGTTGCAGGGAAGGCGGATGAGGGTAGAGCCCCGAGACGGCCAGGCTGAGTTAAGCTTCGTCGTGAGAAGACAGAGGGGTCCGTGTGGGTCACAGGGCAGAGAGGGAGATGATCTGAAAGCCGGCTTGGAGCAAGGGGGCTGCGTGGGGGGCGAGCAGAGGGTCGGACGGCGCTCCGCAGGCCTTAATTCCCACTGAGGAGCCTGACGGAGCGAGCTGTGGGAACGGGGGGAAGGGAGTCACCGCCCCCCCCTCGCCTCAGATCTAGCGGCCCAGACTGGCCTCCCAGAAGCATCGCCTAGAAGATCCCCTGGAGCGATGCGTTCCCTCCCACCCTCAGTGGGACCCGGGGGCCTCCTCCCCATCCCTTTCCCCAGAGGTTTTCCACTGTTTACTTCGTAGTCCGTTCTCTTCCAAAGCGGGAAGACTGTTAAGTTACTTCATAAAGCTCACACTTGGAAGGCTTCCCCTACGATGTCAAATGGACGCGTACTTTTCCACGAGCCCCTAGGTGTGAACTGCCTGACCTTCACCCCCAGTTTCTAAAATGAGCCTCTTCCTGGCGTCCCCCTCCTCCACTGGTAAGTAGATGTAAAAACAGCTTCTCTTGACCTTGGTCTTGTCACAGAGTGTAACTGCAATGAACATTCGAGCGCCTGCCACTTTGACATGGCGGTGTACTTGGCCACGGGCAACGTCAGTGGCGGGGTGTGTGACGACTGTCAGCACAACACGATGGGGCGCAACTGTGAGCAGTGCAAGCCGTTTTACTACCAGCACCCGGAGAGGGATGTCCGAGACCCTAACCTCTGTGAACGTACGTGGGGAAACCTGACATTTTCAGTTACCTTTCAGTTTGATTTTTTTTTTAATGTTCATTTTTGAGAGAGAGCGAGAAGCGGGGGAGGGAGGGAGGGATGGGCGGAGAGAGAGGGAGACACAGAATCGGAAGCAGCTCCAGGCTCTGAGCTGTCGGCACGGAGCCCTACGCGGGGCTCGAACCCACGAACTGTGAGATCATGACCTGAGCCGAAGTTGGACGCTTAACCAACCGAGCCCCCCAGGCGCCCAGTCACCATTCAGCTAGAATAGTCTGGTGATCACCGTCCTCTCGGGACTCCTGGCATGAGCGTAAGACTCCGCTCTATCTTAACCACTGCATAGGATGCTGGCAGCAGAGAGTGCCTGGCAGCCCGGCCTTCTTTAGTCTGTTTCTGTGACGTTTGGAGGGACGACGGGAGTGTGTGTTTATACAAACACTCACGTTGTTACCTGGTGCTTTTTCTTCTTCTTAGGGTGTACCTGTGACCCGGCTGGATCTCAGAATGGGGGCATCTGTGACGGTTACACCGATTTTTCGGCTGGCTTCATTGCTGGTCAGTGTCGGTGTAAATTACACGTGGAAGGAGAACACTGTGAACTTTGCAAAGAGGGCTTCTATGGCTTAAGCGCCGAGGATCCGTTTGGTTGTAAATGTAAGCGCCTTCGTGCAGACGTTTGGGAGCTCCCGTGGGCGCAGTTCCCGTATTGCTCTGCGGCTCTAAACCCAGACCACCTCTGGGCACTCACTTGGTTTGTGTTTCTTTGCTTTATTTTACCTTTAATAAAGCTTGTGCCTGCAATCCTCTGGGAACGATCCCTGGCGGGAATCCTTGTGATTCTGAGACTGGTTACTGCTACTGTAAGCGTCTGGTGACAGGACAGCGTTGTGACCAGTGTCTGGTAGGTAAATCCCGATTACATGGGACGGGGAGTCCGTGAAGGTGGCGGGGTTTAGCGGAGGATGTCTCTCACTCCTTGAGTCTACCGTCAGCCTTGTATGTAAATGTTAAAACACAAGCCATTCACAAAAGAGGAATTGCTAATGAGTTAATTTTGGCAGGTTATTCACTGTCGGTGTTAGAATTGTAAAATAAAACCAGTTACCTACCGTTTTTATATACAGAACTGACGACTGAAGACATAGTGAGGGGCTGGTCCTCTACGCTGCTGGTGGAAATGCACTGTGGTTCATGCTTGGCAAAGAAAAAAAAAAAAAAGGCATTTTGGAAATCTGTTATCAGCAGCGCGTAGCAATGCACATGCCCTTAGACCATTAATCCCACTTCTGGGAATCTTTCCTAATGAAATAAGCAGAAAATTGGACAGAGAGGTAGTCACCAGAAGACTCTTTGCATCTTGTACTAATCCTAGCCAGAAACCTTGGAAGATGGGGGTTGGGGGGGGTGGAATAGTTGACTACATTTGGGGGCTTGTATATAGTGTGATACTCGGTTGCCATTGAAAATGACAATAACATGAGGAAATGCTTATGCTGGTATTAAAAAAAAATGCAGGATATGAGTAGTATCTTGATTGTGTAGGAAAAAATTTCATCAAGAAAAACAAAATCTGGAAGGAAATCCACTAAAAAGTTCACTGTAGCGATTCTGGGTAGAGTAATTCCCAGAATAATATTTTAAATTATTCCCTTTTATAACATTGTTATGAATTCCTTTAAAATTTGTGAGAGGAGTTCCACTGACCCCAAATTACTTTTATGACCTATAAATATGCATGTTTGCCTACATCCAGACACTTAAAGTAAATTTCTGGAAGTCTGATTTAAATCAGTGGGCCTGGTTTTTATCTGCGCGTTAGGAAATAGATACTTATTAAGGTGCAGAGAGCTCTTCTCCCTACGTGGATTCTTTTCCATTTCTGGTTATTTCCATCGCCAGTGCTCTCGGGATTTAGTGATCTCCTTACCTTTCAGGTGTGAAAATACTCACTCTAGGGTGCCTGGGTGGCTCGGTTGAACGTCCGCCTTTGGCTCAGGTCATGATCTCACCATTCCACAGTTCGAGCCCCGCGTCGGGCTCTGTGCAGGCAGCTCGGAGCCTGGAGCTGCTTCGGATTCTGTGTCTCCCTCTCTCTCTGCCCCTCCCCTGTTCGTGTTCTGTCTCTCTCATGAAAATGAATAAACGTTAAAAAAAAACTAAAAAAAAAAAAAAGACTTGCTTTATGCCATTTGGACGCAGCTAAATCCTTGAAGAGCTTTGCTTATGGGGTTTTTGACAGGCTGAACTTTATGGAACATTTAAAGTCCTGCCAAATATTTGCCAAAAGGCTCTGAGTGCCTGCGTACCTCTAATGAACAAGATTGGCCTCTCAGCTGCTTGCTCAAGTTAACAGCCAGACAAAGGCTGCTCGCTTGGAACAGCAACTATTCTGTCTGGCGTTAAGGTGGCAATGACCCCAGCGACCTGCAGCTCGAGTTTCTTGAATTCAGAATATTTATACTCCTTGTAGGCTCTCTGCTTTCATGGTACGAAAGTACTCTTGGTGGATCAACCCAGACACGCCATAACTTGTTGCCTGTTGAGTCTATTGTGTCATTACGGGAACCCACCTTTCAATGTTCAATCTTCTGTTCTGCAGCCAGCGCACTGGGGCTTAAGCAATGATCTGGATGGATGTCGACCTTGTGACTGTGACCTTGGAGGGGCCTTAAACGACAGGTGAGTGAAGCTACACGTAGGCCCTGGTGCTCAGTCACCTCGGCAAGCCCTCCTGACCTCTCGGAGCCGCGGGATGCTCGGTGGCTCTGAAGACGATGTGCAGAATACGTTCCCCTTCAGTGTGAGTGGCCGGTCTTCGCTTTCACCTGGGGTCTTAACGTTTGCAGAGATTTGGTCATTCCTAGTTAGCTTTGAAGCCCCTAAGTACATTTCTGTTTCTTGGATTTTAATCGTATTGTGGTTGGTTTTGTACTTGACAGTGCTTTTTAAGTTTTGGAAACAATGTATTCTCATTGTTTAAAAGAAAAAAGCTCCAACAGCTCAGGCAGGTACCTGCCCTTCCCCGCCCCCTGCCTGATCCAGTGCCGCCATTGGGGGGTTCTCAGAGTCCCGAAATTAACAATAGAGCTCAGAATATCTATTAAAAATTAAAAATTACAATATCTTTCTTTTCATTTCTTTTTAAATAACACGTTGGATTAAAAAAAAAACCAGGCACATCCACATACAAAAAAGCTTATGATTTTCCACTTAGCTTTATTGACAGATTTTTTAAAAATCAGAGTAATCCGTGTATGCACACTATTCTGGGACTTGCTTTATTATCTGGAGATCTTTTTTCATTTCAGCATGTATTCATGTGCCTCTTTCTTTTTAACAGCATGTATTCATCTACCTCTTGTGTTTTTTTTTCTTGGTATTCTGTCATGGGAAAATGCCACAACTTATTTCCCGTGTTTTTGTATAGATGAGGTTCCCAGTGATGGAACTGCTAAGTGAAAGTACATGTGCATTTTTTATTTTTATAGATATTGTTAGATTATTCTCCAGACAGATTGTGCTATTTTTCCAAACACCCGGTTACAAAAGCCTCTGTTTCCCTCCTCCCCACCAGCGGTTGGCATGCTCTGTTTTCACCACCTGAAGGATGGAAAGTGAGGGGCACCTGGCTGGCTCAGTCAGTACAGTGCACGACTCTTGATCTCAGGTGAATTTGAGCCCCACGTTGGGTATGGAGCCTACTTGTAAAAAAAAGAATAAATTTTTTTAAAAAATGGAACATGAACTAACATTTAAAAAATTTTTTTTAATGTTTATTTTTGAGAGAGAGAGAGAGACAGCATGAGCAGGAGAGGGTCAGAGAGAGAAGGAGACCCAGAATCCGAAGCAGCTCCAGGCTCTGAGCCGTCAGCACAGAGCCCGACGCGGGGCTCGAACCCACGAACTGTGAGATCACGACCTGAGCCGAAGTCGGACGCTTAACCGACTGAGCCCCCCAGGCGCCCCAAAGAATTCCCATTTTGATTTATATTAAGAATCTTTTCATCTTCTTCTTTCTTGTTTTGTTTTTTTCAACCTCTGAGTCTCTTAATGAAATTGCATGCAGTCATTTTTATCGGGACACGTTGGTATCCCTCGAACAGATGAGGTGCGAGGCTCTCCTGAGAATGAATCCCCGTGCGCGTTTGGCAGGACGTAGACCTGCTGTGGTTGAGTTAACCACCTTGGAGTCAAAGAGGATTTTGGTCTCCGTAACTGGGTCAGACTAAGAACACCTGGTAGAGACGGCGTGAGCGACCTCTGAGGGGCTAGGCTGATGTCTCCTTGCGGCCTGGGTCTCCCCTGGCAGAGCAGGCTGGAGTCACCAAGCTCCCTGAGCTCCCAAACCTGCCTGTCTTACAAGACTGTTTCCCAGCACCTTTCTGGTGTGCTGGGAAGGAACGGGCTTTTAGGCAGCAAGAACATGTTCTGTTTGGCCTCCGCGTTTGGCTTTGTCCCATTCCAGACGCTGCCGTGACCTCGGTACAGCGCGTAGCCTCTGGAACGCCAGCGCGAATCCTGTTCTTAGAAAACCTCCGGGGGGGGGGGGGGGGGGGGGGGGGGAAGCGAGGACAAGTTCCGTAAAATCAGGGAAGAGAACCTGCTTCTGGAATCCCTGCTCCGACTCCCCTCTGTGCCTCCCAGAACACCTGCTGATGCCTTCAGTAACCGATGGCTCCATTCAGAGCTTCACCCTTCCTAAAATCCTTCTTGACTAGATGAAAGTGGCCCACGTGGCTCTCCAAGTGATGTCCTAAGTTCCGGAGCGTTCTATGTGCCTTTACCCTAAATGGTTTCTGTTACTTACACTCCCTTCTGTTTCTCCCTGGCACACACATTTCCTGCCTCTACATCTGCCCACACATGGCCCCCGGCCTGTCCCTTGTCTCTCCTGCAAGAATTTATAGAACTCAGGGTGTGCTAATCAAGAGAGGTTGTGAAGTAAAAAGATTTTAGGGAAGATTTGAAAGCAGGTAATTGGATCTTCCTAGCATAATGGATGAGATACCCTGTATTTTGGCATCACTGATGAAAAAAAATAAACGTTTTAAAAAATGTTTATTTTGAGAGAGAGAGAGGGAGACAGAATGCGAGCAGGGGAGGGGCAGAGAGAGCCAGAGGAGACACAGACTCTGAAACTGGCTCCAGGCCCTGAGCTGTCAGCACAGAGCCCGACGTAGGGCTTGAACTCCCGAATGGCGAGATCATGACCTGAGCCAAAGCCGGACACTGAACCGACTGAGCCACCCAGGTGTCCCCAAAATAAGAACGTTTAAAGATTTCTTGGGGCACCTGAGTGGCTCAGTCAGTTCAGCGTCCTACTTCAGCTGGGGTCATGATCTCACGGTTTGGGAGTTCAAGCCCCGTGTAGGGCTCTGTGCTGACAGGTCGGAGCCTGGATCCTGCTTCGGATTCGGTGTCTCCCTCTCTCTCTCTGACCCTCCCCTGCTCATGCTCTCTCTCTCTCTCTCTCTCAGAAATAAATAAACATTAAAAAAATTTATTTTTTAAATAAATGAAATAGAATTTCCCTTCCAATAGAATTTTTGTAAACAAGTGTGGCTAATTTCTACATTTATGGGAAATCTGTTTTTAATAATTTAGGCCTTCACCCCCTGAGAAAAAAAAAGTTGTCTTTTATTAGTTTTCTGTTGCTGGCATAGTATATTACTGCAACTTTGTGGCCTGAGACAACATAAATTTATCTTCCTACGGTTCTGTATGTCAGACACGGTCAGCCTCACTGGAATAAAATCAAGATGTTGGCGGGGCCGTGTTTCTGTCGAAGGCCCTCGGGGAGAATCTGTTTCCTGCTCCCTGGAGTTGGCAGAATTCAGCGATGGGAGGAGAGTCCTGATATCCCGCTGGCTGTCAGCTGGGGCCGTTCCCAGCTTCTCCGGGCTGCCACATCCCTTGACTCGTAACTCCCACCTTCAGAGCCGGCGACGGTGGGTCAAATCCTCCTCAAGTCACGTCTCTCTGACCCACTTCTCTGCCTGCCTTTTCCGCCTTTAGGAAGCCTGTGATTAGATTGAGCAACCCTGGATAACCTCCCCATCTCCAGATCCTTAACCTCAGTCACATCGGCCCCCCGCCCCGGTGCCACATGAGATAACGTATCAGCGGATTTGGGGGTGACGACGGGGACATCCTTCGGGGGCCACAGGGCCTGGCTTGCTTTGTCTTCCGTCATCCTACCTCACTGATCCAGCAAATGGAATCTGTATCTATTACAGGGAAATTGGGTGGTACAGGCGTCAAGGGAACACTTCTACCTGCAGCGGGTTTTTCATGAACACAGGAAGGATAGTTACATGCAGTGTTTCCTCTTGCTGTGGAGGAGGTCGGACTTGGCTGCGCTTTGGAAAGCTGAGAGCGGCTTGGGGGGGTGATGGGTGGGCCGGAGGACCCTCCAGCCGGGGGGAGGGAGGCCGGTGAAGGCCCAGAGATGGGGCGCGCGTCCCCTGTGGTCAGCCCCTGACCTGTGACCGTCTCCGCTCACTTTCCCTTCTCTGAGCCCGTCGTTCCTGTCTCTCTCTGCCTGTCCGGACGCACTGCCACCTTCGGAGCGTGGCGTCCGTGACCCCCCCATCCGTCCCCCAGCCAGGTGAACCGTGGCTTTCCTCTGCGGCCTGAGCCCCTGCCTGTAGCTGTGCAGGTGCCGCGTGCATCTGCTTCGTGGCTGCAGGCCGCTGCTTCGCTGTGTGTCGGCCGGTTAGCCTGGAAGTTCTCCGGGCAGCAACCATCTTCCTCCCGTCTTTCCGTCTCTGTATCTTTTAGAAACAATAGACTCACCAAGGAAGTAGGGAAGGACCCAGAGGAAAAGTGACCACGGACAAAACTGTGAGCGTATTGACCCCAGGGCCAGTCTCTGCTCAGGAGGTGTTTGTGAAAGAGGGTGAGGAGAGCGGCTCCTCAGAAAGCAAAGGGTGGCCGTCGGAGGATGGCTTGCGGAGGTTGCTAGAAGCCAGGCAGAGGCGCCGTGAGTCGATACAAATAAGGGAAGAAACGTTTGTGGGTTTTACGCAGTGCGGACGACAGCGCTGGCGGGAGGGGGGGGCAGCGGGGAGAAGGGCTCACAGGGCAGCGCGGGGGCTGCTGGGGGACAGGCACGGCCTGACGACAAGCTGGACGGTGGTTGTGGCGGGGACCGCACGATGCCACTGCTGAGCCGAGAGAACTCTCAGACTAGGACTTTGGTATCGAGGACGAAGGACAGGGAAGGTCTTGTCTCGCCCCGAATCCGAAGAACGTCAGCTGGGACAGAAGGAGCAGAGCCGAGGGTGGTGTGAGTGGTGACGAGCACTTTGGGACGAGGTGAGTTAGGACGGCGGGGTGGCCTTGGGAGCGTCCCCTTTGTGGCTGGAAACACCAGCCGAGCCGAGCGGACTGAGGGCCAGAGCTTAGGTGCGCAGAGGCAGTGAAGCCCCAAGGGCGTGTCCTCAGCGGGTAAGTGTCCAGGCGGAGCCAGGCCTGCCGGGGACCACGCCGCACGTCTGTGGACGCAGAGACACGTGATCCCCAGGGCAGATGGTACGGGAGCTCCTTGCAATGACCAGGTTCTCGCGAGTGGTTCCGTCTTCGGAGTTACAAACCCTGTGTCTGCTGGTCTTCAGCCTCACCGTCGTTTGCTTGTTCTCTGGGGGTGGCAGGTGAACAGTCGCGTCGTCGTTCCCTGGCGGTTCCTGGTTTACCCATTTGTTCCCTCGGTGCACACCCGCTGGGCAAGAAGGAAGGATTTTCTCTTGTCCGTATGATGTGAAGTCCGAAGCCTGAGTTATTGAAAGGGGCTCTTGCTGGTGGAATGTGCCAGAAGGGGGCTGGGTCCCAGCTGCAGCAAGCTTTCCTCCTCTGGGGATCGGCTACAGGAGGTCAAGTACGCCTGTGCCTTGTGGGTGGGAGCCATTCACGTGATCTGCAGGAAGAAGGCTTTGGAGGGGACCGTGGGGGACACTGGGAGTGTTCCATCATCCCAGGAGCATAACTTGCCTTAGGTACTTGGTTTAAATGCACTTTGGGGGGGCACCGGGGTGGCTCGGTCTGTTGAGCATTCGACTCTTGATGTTGGCTCAGGTCATGATCTCAGCGGTTCGTGGTATCAAGCCCTGTGTCCGGCTCTATGCTGACAGCACAGAACCTGTTGAGGATTCTGTGTCCCTCTCTTTCTCTGCCCCTTCCCCACTTGCATGCATGCACATTCTCCCAAAAATAAACAAATATCTAATACACAAATTATCTAAATAAAATGAACTTTGGCATGAGGAAAAAATTTGAACTCTGGGAGTGGGTTTAAAGCAACAATTCCAAACCTCATCTTGACTTCAACGAAATAAAAATGGACACCTATAATTTGGTTTTACCTTGTGCACAAAGAAAAAGAGACATAGGGTAAGAACAAACAATATTTTACAGTCTATCCAGAGGCCTTTATTACCTGAAACAACATGTCAAGTTAAAAAAAAGTTTGGGGTGCCTGAGTGGCTCAGTCAGTTGAGTGTCTGACTGTTGACCTCCGAGGGTCACGGGAGTAAAGCCCGTTCGTGCGCCACGCTGAGCATGGAACGTGCTTGAGACTCTCTCTCTCCCTCTCTCTTCGACCCTCCCCCCTGCTTGCGCTTTATCTCAAAAAAAAAAAAAAAAAAAGTTTATCATTGACATTAAATCCCCTATTTGCATTCCGAATGCCTGTCCCTGGCGCATTCTGTTCGTTCGGCCAGTGTGAGTGTGCTCGGTGGGCAGAGCGCTGGGCCGGGTCCCGGCAGGGGACGGGGCGTGACTGAGGTGAAGGAAGCACAACTCAGCCTTGTAAGCAGCCTGCCACCTAGGGGAGGCCCGCATGGACCTGTCAGGAGAGAAAGCGGTAACCACCTGAGCGGTGCAGGTGGAGAAGGCGCCGTGTGAGGACAGCGCGGAGCCAAAGCAGACGCCGCGACAGGGCCGAGCGTTGGGCTGGGCTTGGAGAGGCAGGTGGGGTTTGAAGACACACCACCTCGGTTTCAGTGACCGGTTACTACGTGAAAAGCTTTGTTGTTCATGTTGTATGTTTGTCCTGCAGGGAGGTGGTGGCACGAAGGAGAAGGTGGGGTGGAGAGAGACGGTCAGGAGATGCCACAGCACGAGTTCGTTGTGAGCCGAATCTTGGAAGAATAGGTGGCTCTTTGCAGGGTGGATAAGACACAAGGGTATTTCCGGCTGTGGGAACAACATAAGCCAAAGGAGGGGGTCATGAGTCTCCCTGTGCATCGCAGAAATTACCCATATGGTTGGGGAAGTGAGGAGAGAGGTGGGCCTGGAAAGACAGACACACAGGCCAGACTATGGAAGGCCCAGCAGGAAGTGATGAGGTCAGTGCCTCGGAGAAAGGTCGTTCGGGCAGCTGTGTAGGCGGTGGTGGTTTAGGCTGGAGTTGGAAGACCGACAGCAAGAACGCTGATGGGAAGACCCAATTTTACTGTGTCGAGAGAGCACAGAAAGGCATGGCCCAGCCGGTGCGAAGAGGGAGAAGAAACACAAGATAATGGACCATGAAATCACAGAACTGGGTTCCTCCTTAGATTTAAAGACTTGAGAGAATAACTTCGAGGTTTCTGACTTGTTTCACTTTGTGGCCGGTGGTGTCCTCTCTCCAGGAGAGAACAGGGGAGGAATGGAGTGTTGCCCTTTGGGATCTGTTGTTAGCCGCTGGGGCAGCTGAGTTGGATATTTGGGAGTCGGATATTTGGGTCTGGGGCCCAGGGAAGGGCTTGCAGGTGGAAACCAGGCATAACGTACGAGATACCAAGCAAGAACATGGGTGGTACCTACAGAAAACCTCAAGGAGGTGTGGATGGAGACGAGCAAGACGGAGCCAGAAGAACCAGGTCATGGGGAGCTTTAGCTTCAGAATTTGCGATTAATTCGTAGGTGACCATTTTTTCCACACCCTTAACTTTCAGAAAGAAATAAGGAAACCCTAGCTGAATATTTCACCCATTTGCTGTTTGTGGGAAATGCGGAACTGTGTCCGGTGGGTTCATTTACAAATGTGGAGGCACAGCTGACTTGGCTTTGACCCCTGCAGCTGTTCCCCGGAGTCCGGCCAGTGCGCGTGCCGACCGCACGTGATCGGGCGTCAGTGCAACGAAGTGGAGTCTGGTTACTACTTTACCACCTTGGATCACTACATCTACGAAGCAGAAGAAGCCAACTTTGGGCCTGTAAGTAGAGGGGTGCTGGGCAGATGGGAAACGCCGCGTTCGGGGGGTCAGTAATGGCATGTGCACGTTTTGTTAGGAGTCCGAACGAGAAGTATTCTTAGGACTCTCGTCAGTGGCAGGATCAGGACCATGCCTTCTTGAGAGCAATTCTGTTTATTTTTAAGTTTATTGATTGATTTTGAGAGAGAGAGAGAGGAGAGAGAGAGAGAGAGCAAGAGTAGGGGAGGGGCAGAGAGAGAGAGAGAATCCAAAGCAGGCTCCACACTGTCGGCACAGAGCCGATGCAGGGCTCGAACCCACAAACTGTGAGATCAAGACCTGAGCCGAAACCAAGAGTTGGATGCTTAACCAACTGAGCCACCCGGGCGCTCCAAGAGCAGTCCTGTTTAAGGCTAAGTAAATCTGTAATTCACAAAGAGACATGGGAACGTTGACTAATAATGTTTCTGGTAGGTTTTCTGGCAGGGAGGGCTGAGTAGTAGCTTTCCATTGGTCCATTCCTCTACTTATGCTCCAAAGTTACTGTTGCTCTCGTGTCGCAAATACTCAGAGAAGGCGTTGCTTTCTATAGCTGTCATCAACCGTCCCAGAATTTAGTGGCTTAAAATGTCCGTCTGGCACTTCACCTGGGGTGCCGGCAACAGCTGGAGCTGGTCAGGCCCACGTGACCCCACCGCCAAGAAGCTGCCTTGAGCTTCCTCGCGGCATGGTGGATTCAAGACAGTGAGACTTCTTACGTGGTGTCTGGCATCCAAGGGGAGGAAAGAGAGAGAAACTGCCAACTCTCTTAAAGACTGGGCTCAGAAGTTTCAGAGGTCACTTTCTCAAATTCTCTTGGTCAGAAGTCACAAGCCCAGAGCAGATCCGAGGGCAGGGTAACAGGTCCCACCTGTTGAGGGGACAGCTGAACGCCTACGCGTAGACAGAATGAAGGACTTTGGGGGCAGCTGATCACAGCGGTTCGGCATGATCCTGTGAGCAAACTCAAACAAATGGGAATGGATTGATCTTTCGTCTCACTGACCATCAGAATGAACTCTGGTGGTCAGCCCTCATGGTGGTCAGTTTCCTCACTTGTACTTGGAGCTTGAAATGAATGCCAGTGAGAAAGTCCAGCACATTCACCTGATACTGGGCGAGCCTTGTAGGAAATCTGGGAGATAGCTCGCCACCCCTCTGCGTGCTTATAAAGGCACGTGGGACATTCTCCTTCCTTCCTTTATGCTCATTCCTGGTTGTACCCTGGAAGGTGTCTTCTAAGCCCCTTGAGCCCTGTCTCCAATGTCCCAAGGCCACCTCAACCACAAAACCAAAGCGAAACCGATTCCTCGTCATACATCAAAAACGTATACACTTGAATAAGAAAACATGACTGCAAAAATAGGTGTAATGCCCCTGGTTTGGACCTTTGGATGACTTCAGATTTCTTTAACCGGTGAATTTATTTGAATCCCACTTCAATTCCCTTGTTTCCAGGGGGTCCACATAGTGGAGCGACAATACATTCAAGACCGGATCCCTTCCTGGACCGGAGCCGGCTTCGTCCGAGTGCCTGAAGGGGCTTATTTGGAGTTTTTCATCGACAACATACCATATTCCATGGAGTATGACATCTTGATTCGCTACGAGCCACAGGTAAACCTGTGGACTATCAGGGGTGGTAGAAATATTTTCTTTTGATGGGCACAGTTTTTGTGAAATTTGGAGGTTGCATTAGAATATCTCTGACTTCTTACCCCCAAATTCAGTTTCACAAACTTTCAGTGATTCATTGTTAGGCGCTCAGCCTTGCTGAGACTGGAGGTGGTGACGTGTCAGACCCCTGCCCTGACCTCACAGCCTGCACAGCCCAGGCTCGGATGCACCCCCCACTTTTAATAAAAAGCTGAAATGGGAAGGTGCAAGAGCAGAGATGCAAACAGTCCTGGAAGATAGAGAGTCTCCCAGCATCCCAGCTGCACCAGCCGCTGCCAAAATGTCTCCTAAAGAATCCGTTCTAGGCCTTAAAACAGGGATGGAATTTTGACATAAAATGAAGTGAAGAACCGTTCGGGCAGAGAGAGAGCTTTGAGAGGGTCTCCACGCAGCTGGATAAGGGGTAGTCAGAGAGGTTGTCGGCAAGGATCGTGGGATCCGCAAATGGGCTTGGACACTGTGTTAATAGGGGTTTGAGCAGGGGATTGCCCTGGTCTGAGCTGTGTTTCCGGACCCGGTTGGAAAGAGGGTTGGGAAAGGCGGGGAGAGCAGGGAGGCTCTTTCCGTGTCCCAGTGAGGCGGCGTTCGGGCTGGAGCGGAGACCAGAGCAGAGGAGACGGCAAAGAGGGAAAGGAAATGCAAGCAAGTGTTTTTCATTTAAACTTGGCCAATGGCCGGTTGGGAGAGGTCTTCATAAACACGCAGCCGCGGCCACTGCGGATGCTCCTCTGACGGCTTGCTTCTCACTCTAGCTCCCCGACCGCTGGGAAAAAGCCGTCATCATGGTGCAGCGACCTGGAAGGATCCCAGCGAGCAGCCGGTGCGGCAATACTGTCCCCGATGATGACAACCAGGTGGTGTCCTTGTTGCCTGGCTCCAGGTCAGTGTAGCGCTGGTTTGCAGCTCAGCGCAGCGGATGCGCGAGCCGGGGGTCTTCTCCCTGCGGTCTCGCGCGATGCCCGGTTACCGTTTCCCAGCCACGGCCCAGCGCGGACAATTGCCCTTTGCAGGGGTCTCTGTAGAGCTTTGACTGCTGGCCTGATGGACACGTACAAGCTGAGTTTCCGTTGTTGTTCTGTGTCCTTCTGGGGGCAGGTATGTCGTCCTTCCACGGCCCGTGTGCTTCGAGAAGGGTGTGAACTACACGGTGAGGTTAGAGCTGCCCCAGTACACAGCCTCCGACAGCGACCTGGGGAGTCCCTACACTCTCATCGACTCTGTAAGTGCAAGGTCACTTCTGAAGTGAGGGTCATGGGGGAAAGGCTGGGCAGAGACGGTCCCTCTGCTTCCCCAGAGGCTCTGACGAAGGGGTAACGTGGACAGGTTAGACACTGTCACTCTTCCTTGCCTCCAGTGTCACTTTGCTTATGTATTGTATGTTATTTTATGTTTTATTGTTTTGGGGGAGAGCACACACGAGCAGGGGAGAAGGGGAGGGGGGGAAAGAGACAGAGAGAAGGGTGGACTGAGAGAGTCTTAGTAAGCTCGGAGCCTAACCTGAGGCTTGATCCCGTCATCCTGGGATCATGACCTAAGTTGAAATCAAGAGTCGGATGTACTCAAGCTGATCGTCTATGAAAAGAAAAAGGATCTTAAAAATGGCACTTCAGAAGCCCTCAGACTCTGGAAGGTATCTCCAAGTGTTTTCTGGCAAGACTACGTAAGAGTGAAAAGGTCTCTTACTGTGTTGAATGAGTCCGATGTTCTCGTTGCCAGAGTCAAAAACGCATTTGGGGCTCTTGGGTGTTGGCTTGTTTTCGCTGGCGACAGACTCCGCCACCAGCACGCTTCGCGGCTCCCGTTTCTCCACAGCTGGTCCTCATGCCCTTCTGCAAGTCACTGGACATCTTCACTGTGGGAGGATCGGGGGACGGGCTGGTCACCAGCAGTGCCTGGGACACCTTTCAGAGATACAGATGCCTGGAGAACAGCAGAAGTGTGGTGAAAACCCCCATGACCAACGTGTGCAGAGACATAATCTTCAGCATTTCCGCCCTGTTACACCAGACGGGCCTGGGTACGTGTCCCCGGCCCTCCTTTCTTGGGGGCTGGGAGCGCTTGGCGTCACGGGGTGCGTGGGAAGGCGCGCCGTGGTTGGCCTTTTCTCGTTTTGTAAGAATATTGTAGTGATGGGGGTGCCCGGCGGCTCAGCTTTTCTGAGTGTCCGACTCTTGCTTTTCTCCCTGAAAGGTCAGGCCGCTCCCAAAGGTCACCGGGCTTTTGTCTTTAGGCCCCTTGCTATTTGAGCTCTGAAGGCAAGGGGGGAAACCTTAATGTCCTCCTTCCGGGAAAAACCGCTTCTATCTGCCACGTCCGTCTCCTGCTCGGCGTAGGGATGGCATCGTCTTAAGCGGGAATTGGGAATAAGCCACCGCTGTGACCTGTGACGGGGAAGGATCGGGGCAAGCCCGAGCACAGGCTGGTCCGGTTCAGAGCCAGTGTCGCTTGCTATGCGCGTTTCTTCTTTTTTACATATAATCTTTAAAAATATTGATTCATTTTTGAGAGAGAGAGAGAATGAGCAGGGGAGGGGCAGAGAGAGAGGGAGACACAGAATCCGAAGCAGCTCCAGGCGCCGAGCTGTCAGCACCGAGCCCGACGCGGGGCTCGAACCCACACGATGTGAGATCATGACCTGGGCTGAGGTCGGATGCTCACCCGACTGGGCCCCCCGGGTGCCCCGCGCCACACCCCTTTCTTTGCCGGGGTTGACTGCTCCGCGTCTCAGGTCCTGACCTCTCTCCCCCTTGCAGCTTGTGAATGTGACCCCCAGGGCTCCCTAAGTTCCGTCTGTGACCCCAACGGAGGCCAGTGCCAGTGCCGGCCGAACGTGGTTGGGAGAACCTGCGACCGATGTGCTCCGGGCACCTTCGGCTTCGGCCCCGGTGGCTGCAAACGTACGTTCGTCAGAATCGCCACGCGTCCCTCGAGATCGGCTGAGCAATACGGAGGCGGGCTCCGTGGCCTCAGAGGGCAGGGCTGGCTTCCGCACAACCCACCACCCGGGCCACGAGCCACGAGCGTCCCGAACTGGGCACGGGGTGCTTCTGTCTGGGGGGGTGTTTGCATTTAAGGAGTTTCTCGAGGCGGCTGCACCCTTGTCTCTTCCTTCAGCTTGTGAGTGCCACCTGCAAGGGTCCGTCAGCGCTTTCTGTGACCCCGTCACTGGCCAGTGCCGCTGCTTCCAGGGGGCGTACGCGCGCCAGTGCGACCGCTGCCTGCCCGGCTACTGGGGCTTCCCCAGCTGCCAGCCCTGCCAGTGTAACGGCCACGCCGAGGACTGCGACTCCGCCACCGGGGCGTGCGTGGGCTGCCAGGACTACACCACGGGGCACAACTGTGAAAGGTGCGTGCTCGCTGCCCCTCCCCCCCTTTTTTTTTTAGTTTAAATTTTTAATACATAAGAGGAATACGTATAACAGTAAAGGAGCGAATGTGAACGTATGACGTTTCACTAAGTTACCTTGCGATGCAAGTCGCATGTTTATTAACGTGTCATCATCAGAAATTATCATAACCGCTGTTGGATGTATATTTAAGATTATTGCTTCATGAGCACTTTTGGAGCGATCAACTCCGTGGGTTTTTAGTAATTTAAAAATTTCATACAATCCACTATTTCTATTTTTATTAAAAAATTATTTTTTAAATTTTTTTAATGTTTTATTTATTTTTGAGAGAGAGAGAGAGAGACACAGCATGAGCAGGGGAGGGGCAGAGAGAGAGGGAGACGCAGAATCCGAAGCAGCTCCAGGCTCCGAGCTGTCGGCACAGAGCCCGACGCGGGGCTCGGACCCACGAACCGCGGGATCATGACCTGAGCCGAAGTCGGACGCTTAGCCACTGAGCCACCCAGGCGCCCCGCATCCACTTTTTTTTAAAAATCCAAGTTAGTTGACCGTGTAATGATGTGGTGTCTGACAGTCTTTCTTGATTTCAGCTCAGGTCATGATCCTGGGGTTCGTGAGATCGAGCCCTGTCTCAGGCTCTGAGCTGGCAGGGAGAAGCCTGCCTCGGTTTCTCTCTCTCCTCCTCTCTCTGCCCTCCTTGCGTGCGCGCTCTCGCTCAAAACTAAACTTTGAAAAGGACAGGAGAGTGGCGCGGGGACGCGGGTGGTCGTCGCACTGCGGGGGTGAAGCCCGGCACACCGGGCGGTGTAGAGGGGCGAGCGTCTGTGAGAAGAGCGGGGACCGTTTTGGGTATTATTTATAAAGCGTTTTGTTTCTTTTAGGAAAAGGAGAAAGGGTGTGGGAGGGGGAGACTGTTTGGCCCTGCCTTTGGATGACAAAGCTGTATTAAAATATCTGGGATTCTGTAAGCCAGCTTCCTCTCTTCTCTTCTCTCCCCTCCCCT